TTATTGTTAATAATAAATAAATTAAAGCAACAAAACAACCTGAAGAGCTGGTTCGGAGCCGAAAAAGCCGGCTCTTTTTAGTGAGTCGAACCGAAAGAGCCGATTCTCTAAAAAGACCCGGAAATCCCATCACTATATAGCCCGGCCCCTTTGAAATCACATGTCAGGCATGTCGAGGCAATGTATTTCCAGAGGCACACTTAAATCTAAATCACTCAAGGACAAGGTTGATTATAGAAGTATTACGCCCAGCATATAAAGAAAAAAGTAGTGGGTGGCGGGGGTATAAACCTGATTTTGGGGGAAACTCAGAAGCTGTTTCAGATTTGACTGCTAACTGTACAAATGCACTTTTTATGGTGAAAAGTAAAATTAAAGGTAATTTTGTTATAACTGTCCAAATAAGGACCAGCAAGCGTTTCAATATAGCTGCCACATTTCTTACACTTTTAATGAATGGTGTAGCGTTATTCATTTATTTCGTTTGATTAATGTTGAGAAACAGCGCTCGTGTTTGTAATAAGGCATTTTTCAGGAGTCATGTGAAAAAAACATTCTGTCACCGTTTTTCTCGACAGCTGCTGTTAACTGTAAAGTGTCTGAGACAACACCTAATAAAGCAAATATTTTTCATGTGCTTCTAATCTGTGACTCAAACACGTAGGCTAACTCTTACAATAAGAATCACTAAAAACTTTTATAAGAAGCCGTGATTTTAACCTATAAGTGAGACAAAAAAACTATTAGATCTATAAGATATGGCAAGGCAGTTATCTTACCTTGGAGAAATACCGACGGAAAACAGTCCCTGCAGGCATACAAAGAAAAGTGCCGCCTGTGTTTCAAGCCCGATATGTTATGTGTCGTTTCCTGCTATGCTGCACACGGTATCCTCGATCAGTTTCAAGTTTCGTTTTTGAAGAAACAAGCCCGCAGAGCTGCACCACCCACAGCATAATGAGCGTCACGTGATTGTTAAAAAGAAAAAAGCTGTTTGCGTTTTAATTTTTGAAATAAAGGTATTTTGAAAAGGCTTTTTAAAGATTCAGACAAAATAAGTACCAAAATGTGTTAACATTGTTTAATAGGATAGATCTAAGTAGTGTTGAAGCCTACCATATTGGAAACAGTATGGTATGTTTTTGTGTCCCGTCTTTGTACTAAAAACCGGGATTAGTGAGCATCTGAGCACAAAACAGAGCTTTTGAAACTTTTAAGAAAAGGAAAATTCAAACTTACCAATATTTGTTATGAACTCTGATCACCTTAATCATATGTAAGGTTATGGATGTGTGATAAATTAACATTTCCTCTTTCAATGACAAATATGCTTCTTGTTTTATTGCTTTAGCCCAGCCGTAAGTTGTGGCCAAACCACTGTCAACATTAAAACTTAGAACACAAAAAGCTAAAAGAAGTGACATTGGATTGATTTGACCTGAGCAGTACAAATAATGTCACCATAATAAGTAAACTATTCGAGCCACACCTTAGCTTCAACCAAGGAGAGGCTGTCTGTCACCAGCAGCCTGAGAAAAGTAACCAAAACAGCTCATGTCAGTTAAACATTAAAAACTATACACTAGCAAATTACCTTAAACGTGTTAAAAAAAAACCAAAAAAAAACTGAGTTATTACTAAAGCCTAGTAATAATATCCACATCATTACGATAAACAGGATTTGTGTATGTTATGCTTTGCAAAGAGACCAAGTTGTTTTCCTAAGTAACCAGGGTGAATATCCACTGCATATGTGCAAGAATGTGTTTACAGGGCAGCTGCTATAAATAACACTGCCCTGCATCATATTTACAGCATGAAATCCAACACCTTGTCTTTACTAATTTTGTGTTGGTGGCTTCAAAAAATATTTTATAAGTTTTGCTCCATTATATCACTTTTTTTTTTTTTTTTCTTCAGAAGTGGCAATTGCAAACATGATCCAGATATAATTTCCTTCGACTGTGGATACTTCACTACACATCCAAATCCAGTAGCTCATTCTGCTCCCCAGTTATTCACTCAGCCAGAATTTAATGACTTGATCCAAAATTAGATTTGGACTTGCCAAAGGAAGCAATTGAACTACTTGGGTCTCAAAAAACCTCCAGGCTCCAGGAAACAAATTTTATTTTTATTAGACATTGTGAGAGGGATTGTATTCCATTACTGGAAATTGATCATTTTGAATTATGTTGATGTTGAAGGTCTTTATGAGTACAATGCTGACACTGAAAGCTCAGAAAGCTAAAAGGTGTACATGATTTGATGTTTTTACTGTTTTGTTTTTTTAAACTCAGGATTCACTGAATTAGGTAAAATCAACCATTTGCTATTAATGAAAATTACTGACAGCTCACTATTTGAGTTAATTCTTTGTACCTTTGTTGATGGTAGATTCTATGTCTATGATTACACATTAAAGGATCATAAAAGTAGTGCAGGCCCCACATCTTTGTCATACCTGCAGGTTTGTCTTGTGTTATTTCTGATGGTTAATTCAGAAATTAGGCAAAATCAGGTGAACCTTTCCAGTGGTAGTAGTATAAGCACAGCAACCCAAAATAATATTTACATCTTCTGTACTTTAAGGCCATCAAATCATTCATACCCTGAACACTACATGAAGCATCTTAGAAAGGTAACATCAAGTACTTCTGGCTTTTGTTTCCAACCTTTGAGATACACTATGGACAAAGGTCGTGGGGCACCTACATGTTATTGCTAGTCATGGAAACTCATGCCATTAAGTTCCTGGCGCACAGTTTTTGTGCTGATAATAATGCCAAAGGAGGTTCAGAGTTAATAGTTTCTGTTGCTAAGTCAGACAACACCAGCTGCCTGAAGCAACAGCAGGTGAAACTGTTAAACTTACAGTTTGTAGACAAATATGACAGACCTTACAAAACTGTGGCATGCAGCACACTCAAAACACACAAAATATCAGTATAAAAACAATAGAATTTAATGTGCAAGTCATTAACTTCACTTTGACACCCCTGAAAAAGTTATTACACAAGCAATTTGCAGCCTGACTTCCAAACTCCTAATTTGACTCTATAAAGAGGAGGATTACAAAAACCCCACTGTATTCAGACGTCACTCTGAACACCCTTTGGAGGAGCCCACTCTTAATGAGTCAGCTCAATAGTCTTGATTGACAAAAGAGAAGCAGTCTAGCAGCAGCATTAACTGGAATCAAGCACATTTAGCATAGTCAATTTTAAAACATCTGTACACATACAGCACAGTGATATTAAAAAGGGGAAAAAAGGCACAACGGCCACATCAAGTGATTTATCATCAATGATCCAAATTCTGAACTGGTCTGTACAAAAATATACATACAGTATCTGTGCAGAGAACAGGCTCACCAAGACGTACACAACATTGCACAATAAAACTACCCAAGTGTTCAACAACATCTGGACCCGTTTCCCCACACTGGAGACCAGATACACCTTTTTGGACATGCCGTAATAAAATTAAAAGCTTTCTTCACTCAGTTCGGCTACAATAGAACATCCAACACCTGCTGGATTTCTCAGGGTGGCTCGTGGACCGTCTCGTGCTGGGGATCATTTTAATGCAGGTTAGCAGAAGGCACTTAATGCAGGATGCAGCGGCCGCGTCTGGCGGTGAATCCCAGGCGCTGCAGGCCTGGTCCTCACCGACTCACAGCACAGCCACAACCAGGAGTCCAACCTTTCCTTTTGTCTCCCTCACACTTTAAGGCAATGCTCCTATCTGAGCTGGATCCACCTGGCTCTAGTCTAGTTCACACTGGTTTGTTGTCCAGTATAGGAGGATTTGTCAGTGGGGTCACCTCAGGCTGATTGGATTCTCTTTGCCTGAGAGTTGATTCCGAGGTCTGACTGTGTGAGTCAGTCTGTGTGTACGGTGCTGGCTCTGCCGGCTGCACTGTCTGAACCGGGATATGTGACAATATGGGCTCCGGTGCTGATGAGGGCACTGATTCAGCAGCTGCTGTGTGACACACCTGCTCCGGCAGTGACAAATGTGTAGACTCCTGGGGTGGTGAGGAAGCTGTGGATGTGTGTGTTGGCAGGTGTTGAGTGCATGGCTCATTATGTCTTTGCGGCCCATGGTGAGCTAACTGGGCCTGTGTCTTAGCAAGCTGTTCTGCAGAGCAGTAGTAAGGCAGGAATGGTCTCTCAGGCGCGCAGGTCCGCATGGCCAAGTAGGTGTGCATCAGTAGGTGGGGAAAGCGGGAGGTGAAATAGGAGACAAAGTCATCGGGGATGGAGCCCAGAGTCTCCTGGACCTCAGCGGGTAACTCTCGATAATGGTGTTTCTGTTGAAGTAAGGTCAGCCATGAATGTGACGGTAGCAAAACAGGCTCACTTTAGCACAAAGCTGTTTGTTATAAAGGAAACTTTTACCTTGTTTCTCATTGCACGCATGAGGTCTCTGACTGACCCGCCCTTATAGGAGCGAAACTTCCTCAGATCTGCCACACAAGGAAAACTCAGAGCTCAGGCATCGATCATAAAAATGAATTCTAAACACAGAATCAGTACAAAGGAAGTCCTGAAACTAGTGAAGCTGTAGCTTGAACTGAGCATGGTTCCAAGTGTCTCTTGTATTTAAAAACATGTAGAAAGGTATGTGTACCATTTCATCTTTATTAAATGTGAATCCTTTATGTTATCTACATCATCTCTGGATTAATCATTAATATCTGTTCCAAATGTTTTACAAGTCAATAAAAATGAGCGCAGAGTCCATGGAGAATCTGTTGTGATACTGGGTCAAATGGCGCTGTTGACAGGAAGTAGCGTGCTTAATTAACCACATGCTCAAATGTTTTCTGGCAGCAGGATGCTGCATGCAACTGAACATACAGTGAGGCACTTAAACAAGCTGTAAGATGAACTAGTACAAGTGTCACTGTGTAACGTGTAATACTGTCAAAACTAATTTCACACAACAAACAAGAAGAACGTTTTACAAAAAGAGGCTCCAGGAGTTTGTGCACAGTCAGTCTCATACCGGTCTGTAGTGGCACTGTGATGTGCTCTCTCCAGTCACCCTTGACAACAGCCCTCCCCCCTCTCTCCAGCTGTCTCACAATTGGTCCGTCCAGCGGTTCCTTTTCTATCCTGTCACTCACATCCTGAAAACAACCAAAAACAAAAAACACCCGGTGAATATAATATGGCAGGCAGTCTGGAGTGTTGTTCTCAGTGACAATATTATTGTATTATTTAAATAAAAAAATGTATTGTAGAAGTTAATATCCCAGTAATCAAAAGCACTTGTTTTTAAATTTATACAGAAGCTTATTATTAAAAAGGGAAGCTGAACATACTCTACACCAGGGGTGTCAAACTCAATTGCACAGGGGGCCAAACCTCAAGGCACACTTTAGGTCGCCAGACAAGATAAACGTTTATTGAACACACTAAAACAATGGGGTTTTTTTTTAAACATAAATATGAATAAAAACAGACAGGTATATAATTCCAGAATAAACTTTAACTTTAAATATTTTTATAAAAATATATCCTGTCAAAATTATGCAAGCTAGAAATATGAACATGCTGCCAAAACCAGAAAAAATAAATGAAAACATACACAAGGTTCGAGCCGCATGTAGACGGAGCTGAGCATTGCTTCAGGAATGGAACTAATAAACCCTGTGGGTCATACTTTCCCTCGAGTGTCCCATTAGAATGCAGCTCCATCTGAATCTACACAGGTGCAGTTTCAACTGTAAATTTTCTTTTTGTGCTTCAAAGTCACCAAAGCGCCGTGCGCTCAGTTTATCAGCAAAGTGCGCATTTGGGAACACTGTTGCACTGACTTGGTTCAACATTACTTGGCAACAGGGAAAGTGAGGCAAGTTGCACTGGTGCATTTGTGACAGCTTCACCGCATCATACATGCCATGTCCATGAACTGAGATTTCCTTGCTGAGCTCCAAAACTATTGAGAATTTTTCCCCAACTCAGCCAACGGACCTCTGTATGATAAGGAATGTCAGCAAACTCTGAATCTATTTCCCACATAAAAGACTGAAATTGACGGTGATTTAAACCTTTAGTTTGGATCAAATTTACGGTTTGCATCACGGTGATCATTACATGCTCCATTTTAGGACTTTACCACACAGCCTTTCCTGGTGCGTGATGCAGTGATATGCTGTTAACTCACCGGTACAGTTCTCCTGCATCTGTACTGCATCCTGCTGACTAGTCCGCTTTTTTCACCGCACAACACCGCCATCTTTTGTAAGTCCAACAAGTTTGTCTCAGGGCAGTTTCGTGTCGGTTACACTCTGACATACGTCTCTGCTCAGGCTCACATTTGCCAAAATGTGTGTTTTGTCTGGACACAAGACGTCGCACACCTTCATCATGCAGCTCTTCAGAGTGGTACTGCGCTGATTTGGCTTTTTCCTCTGCTACAATAAAACTTGCTTTCACAACAGCTTCACTTTGTGATTTTGCTCTGGTGACAAACGTCTGCTGAAATGTCAGATTCTTCTTTAGCTCTTCTACTTTCTGTAGTTTCTGCATTTAGGTTTTTCAGCTTATCCTGATGTTTTGTCTTGTAGTGCCGTCTTAAATTAAATTTCTTAATTACAGCCACATTAGCTCCACTAATAAGACACACGGGTTTACCGGCAATGTCTGTAAACATATATTCAGCCTGAAAGGCTCCGTTTTCAGCATCAACTTTTCTCTCCACCATTGTGAGCGGCTAGCTTCACAATAACAGAAGTTTGACTTGATTGACGCGGGAATGTTCCCAGCTAGCCTAGCGTTCAGCAAGGAGGCTGCAGCGCTGCATTATGGGATCTGTAGTTTGGGTGTTATTAGCGCCTTATATCGCTGGGCCATGCATAACAATAATAATAAATCTACCGTATTTCCCGGACTACAAAGCGCACCTGACTAAAAGCCGCAGGGTTCAAAGCTTGTGCAAAAAGTAGCGGCTTATAGCCCGACAATTACGGTATATAAAA